ATACATACAAGAAGTCGAAAACAAGCTGTTGTCGCTAAAATATGTATATTTATACTCAGACAGCCATGGCTCTTTTAAGACGCATAACTCTGTCACTAGAAATTCGGCAACAGTTGCCAACTGGCGCAAATCTGGTAAGGGTTCCGCAGTATAGGGACATACCAGGAAATGAGCAGGAAGACGAGCTTGTGATAGGTGGTACTTGCATTACACTTTCAGGGACCATTTCCATGAAGAACCCGTTACCAGATGGGACATATGGAGAACAAAAGAAATTCTCGTTCTCACTCACTGGTCATATCTTAATAGGAAAGCATGAGGAAGGCCTCGTGGTCCGCCACAATGACTACTGCAGGAGCTGCTACGGCAAAGAAGAGCCTGAACTAATCAGGAACTTACCCTGCGTTTGCCCTGCAAGATGCGAAAAAATACAGAAATTCCTGGGTGTAGAAGTGCAACTCCAAAGTTTAAAATAATGCAGCAGCTAAGTTTCGTGGATCAATGTGGAGTCACAATTGGTACCTGATTGGGCCTAGGTGTGTTGGCCTTCCTCCAAGTTCAGCATCCTCTTCAACCTACAGCCAGTGATCGGACTTGAAAAAAAAATCGTGTGGTAGAATCTGGAAAAAAATGTGGTAGATTTCGAAAAAATGTGATAGATCTCAGGTTTTGGATCAAACTTTGTACAAAAATTAAAAAAATTCTGCAAGGTTTCACATAAATTGCAAACATTTTAATTAGAATCTAAAAAAATGTATTTTAGTATAATAAAGTGCAAGATTGAAGTTGCTAAAATTTGCGTTGAGTTTTGGCAATTTTTTTCCTTGACAGTGTAAAGCAGTTCCTTCCATATCAAGATATGTTTCGAACATATTTTGAAAGATTTCTGCAACCTTGCGGAGTGCTGCCAGCTTTTCTTTTTATTACATCACGATGTAGCGAACAAATGTGGCACGTTCCAGAAACCGCTACATGGGATTTGCCGATTTTGACAATTCCCTAGTAAAAGTAAACAACGCTTTAGAAACTTTAGATGCACTGAAATTTGCTAATAATTTCACAAAAATCGCCGTTTCTTTAACATTTTCGCTATTAATTATTTTTATAAATCATATATTTTGCAATTTAACACAACAAAACCACGTTTCCCGACGAAAATTGAATACTGAGAAAATTTAATATTTTACAGTTTATTTTATAATCCACAAAGCTTTCCATCAATTGGTGTTTTAAAAGCAGTATAACCCTGTTTTACGTTGTATGTAGCCATTTAATATGTAATATGTATGTGTTCGAGAAACACTGAACACTATTATCGAAGTCAATGCGAAAAAAAATTGAAATGTCGCACAGTTCTGCGGGTTTTGAATATCGCCTACATAATATATGCCAAGCACTAACGGAATCATCCAAAAATTCTGGAAAAGTAAAATGGAATCATAGCTCCATAGCCTCAGTGGTTCATAATGTCAAAGTTAAGATTTTTTTTTATAANGAAGGGTTGAACATAATGTATGCCAAGCACTAACGGAATCATCCAAAAATTCTGGAAAAGTAAAATGGAATCATAGTTCCATAGCCTCAGTGGTTCATAATGTCAAAGTTAAGATTTTTTTTTATAATTCTTACCGGTATTTTGCGTAAAATATGTTGGTGTAATTTTTGTGTTTGTACTCCTGCTATCGCCTAATGTGAATTCGCCTTGTGAGAAATTGTATATTTATATAAAAAAAATTAAAATGTATTTCCCGTAAATAAAACATTCAACAAAAAACCTATACCTACATAAAACTGGGCTCGAATTACGGTATCCGTTTTCGAATGAAACTCGATTCGAATCGAATGAAATAAAACGACAGTTGATTTTTCTCCTATTTACTTTGAATTGCAAAATAAACTACCAGCTATGGAAATATGTTTCGTTTGGAATACGTTTTTTGTAAGAGACTGCCAAACGAATCGTCTGCAAAATTCAAGCATTTCAAAACTAATTTTAATCAAACAGGCTGACTTCCAAAACGTACCAATACAATGTTTGGATACTGTTCTGCTGCAGTATTTAAACTGTTTCTATATGCAGAGTTGCGAAACATTGTAACCATATACATACATTGCATATTTTGAATATGCAAAAACAAACGAAGCATCAGCTTTGTTTCTGATGCGCTGATTACTCTAGCAATGCGTTTCGATACATTTTCGGATGCGTTTTGGAAAAGTATACATTGTCAACATTTTGTAGTTTGGCGTTACGGAATATTATACTTTATACCAGAGGTTCCCAAACTTTTTTTTCTCGTAGACCCCTTTCAAAAATTTACGGGTTTCGGTGGACCCCCTGCTGATACATTTCTAAATATTCCCAAAGCTCGTAAAAAAATGAAATGTGAAAATTAGATCTAACAATGTAAATTTGCATCGCGGGTGAATTCAAAAACTGAACTCAGAGTGGCCAAAATAAAAGTAAAATATTTTCTTGTGTTCTATTTATAAAAATAATGTGATTACACACTTGTAGGTTTTAAAAAATAGAGCTCGTAAATACATCAAAATACTCTCTCGCTCGGAGGAGTTATATTTTTTAAGAGCACTGCGGGCGCTAGCGTTATTTACTTTATCTTCACCATAAACTCATCAAATGTTCGGCTCACTCATGACTTTGTACGTGGAGTATATGTAAAATAGTTTATTTGTATTAATGACATCATTTTTATTTTTTATTGCTCCGAGTTTTAAAGTGAGGCGAAAAATATTTATCACATTTTTAAAACACAAAACTTAAAACATCAAAACGGCTAAGCTTTTTACGCCAAACTTTTAATTCAGAAATTGACAATAGAGAAAAGAACGAGTGTAAAAAAATCTATGACAAATAACCAAGCAAGCAAGAAGCACAAAAGGTGTTCCACCGTCTCATCTTCTTCAAGGCAAGATGGGCAAATAGACTTGTCATTTACGCCTATCACAGTGAGGTGTTTGTGCCAGTTGTCTGCAGTGTCGTCTGCTCAGTGAGAGCAAAAAATTAGATAGACCTTGTGAGATTGAGCAACATGAGTTTTGCCCACCTGCATCCCCTCGATGCCTCTCAGTCTTTGCTGAGCGAAGTATTCACCCTGTTTCTGATGGTGGCTTCGATTACCAAAGGTGGGAGTGCTAAAACTGGTTGCGGACCGGGGAGTGCCTGGTCTGAGCCAACTCTGGCCAAATGATCAGATGTCTCATAATCAGGTACTCCTGAGTGACCTGGCACCCAGAGTAAAACAACCTCGTTATGTTCACCACCATATTTTGGTCGAGACTTGCATTGCCGAACTAGTTTGGAAATACTAAAAACTCCTTCCTCTCCACCTATGTTCCACCACGTAGTCCATGGCTTTGAGTATTGCAATTACCTCAGCCTGGAAGACCGAAGCATATTCCCCTACAGAAAAGTGAAGGTTATCTCCATTAACTTTGAAAAAGACCTTATTTAAACACCTATAATTCAAAAGTTATGCAGCAAATCGATAAAATTTTTTTTTAAAGCTTCAACTATACGTCAATGAATCATATCCAAAAGCAACCAGATTGCTATAGTTTACAACAGTGAAAATAAAGCTAAATAACACAAAGGTTACCTGTTTTTTAGATTTGCCCATATGTTTTTGGTTGAATATTTTATTGACGTAAAATAAATTTTTTTGTTGCTTTATACTATGTCTCCATTGAGAGATTTATCCATTAAGATTTAATAAATCCAGTTGCTAAATCACAACCGTCTCCATTACCACAACGAGATATGTTT